CAGTTCAGACCGTTTCTTCCTGCGTCTTTATCTAGGTGAGACGATGAAATGCCAACGCGCGGGAACGGCTGCCCCCTCCCTCTGGTTGCTCTTCAGACCGATGGTCTGGCAAGAGTTGGGACATTACAGTTTTTGTGTTGCCAAGTCAAGGCTTAATAAGTTCACGATCGCGCTAACCAGTGAACATCTGCCTTCACCAGGCGGTTGGTTGCTTTGATGGTCTGGCTGATGACCGAGACAGTGGTGAGTTCGTTCCTACACACCTCATTACACTAGAATTTTTGCTGTCCAGATGATGCGTGCTTCTTGCCTACGAGTTATCATTCCCTTAAAGACGGGAGATTCGTGGTAAAACTGATTTTTCGAACGTTCTTCAGGATCAAATCCAACGGTGGCCACCAGTCCATCTATCCAGGTTACTAATTTAAATATCTCTTTCCAGGACAGAACTGCTGTAAAAAGATATAAACAGTTCTATCGGCCCTAGTTTCAGATTTTCGTTAGCTGTAAACTCAGGGTTCATTCTTTCAGCACATCCCCGTAAGGCACACTGACCGAGCAGAAGATATTTGCTCCAGCAAACGAGTTTTAAGGGCAGATCTGATTTTGAAAAAAAATTGTTCAAATTGTTCCTTCTCCGATGCATTAACCGGTGCCTTCTAGCAAAAGTGTTTTAAAGCGACAAATAGAACCAGAAATGTTCTGTTAATGCAAATGGCTCAAGGAGATGATCACACGCTCATTTCGTCTTCAGAAATGACATTAAATAAGGCAAACATGCAAAAACTAAGAGCATCTGCACTTTGTAACCTCGATATGGAAGCTGCTTCACATTTCGTTGCCGCTGAACGTATAGTCCTGCGCCAACATTATGTTCATGCACTGGTTGGATTGAATTAGAAGGGTTTCCGCTTAAGAATTTGATCGATATAACCTGGCTTTTCGGTTCCATAATATTCAGTGTCATTCTTGTGCCACATACTGCATAATCGCGGAATTTCTTTTCGTTTTCTTTCTTCACCACCCACGGACAATTCGTTTGTCTTCACCCTGTTTCATGTGGCTATTGTAGCTGCTACAGTGCACTCAAAGGATTATAATTCGCCGTGTTATTATATCCCCACTTTTCAGAGTCTGCCTGCTCTCTGAATTAGAGACAGTGAATTTGGACTACAGTCAACACGACTTGACTATTGACGGTGACAGTTGAAATAGCTATAAGGTATTTAGAGGAAAGATGATCGAGGATCATTGTCCAAGCGACAAGGTAGCAGCTGTGACCGAATGCCTTGCCAAAGGCCATGAATCCCATAAACAAAGTATGAACGAAAAGAAGAAAGTAATCTGTGATACCCAACGTTCCTGCTGGGCAAAGTAAGTTCGGCGAACGAATACCGCTTAACCGTTAACCTATTCTATAATAGGGTTCCGGCGGAATGTCAGAAACTGAGTGTTCTCGAAATATTTGGGAAATGTCATGCTAATATTGACACTAAAGAAGATGAAAACATAAAAGCCTTCGCCACGTGCCTCGGGATAACGCTGTCGGAAGAACAAAAGCACAAACTGATTGAAGTGTTTGAGCACAAGAAACGCTTCTGTCGTCATTCCTTGGATAGATTAATTAACGATTGCAAATAGCTAAAACTTCCGTAGTTGTTATGTTTTAGTCTTGTCTGCTTTCTTAGTTATATTAAAATCGATTTTTTCTGAATATGACTGCTGCAACATGTCAAAAAGGCTTGTTTCAGTTTCACTGCTTCTAAGAAAACGTCAGAGCTATAATCGTACTGTATTCGTACAGTTCAATTTTGGGAGTAAAAGATAAGACGGAATCAGCACTAAATGCATGATAAGAGTTGAAATTTGTTAACCTTTGATATGATGTAGTTTTGCGTTTCAATCAGAGCATAAAATATTACATAAGTCGTAATTACGGTATGCGTACAATTCGAATTTGAGTGAATGGTTATGAACCCTACTTAAATCTCGCTAGATCTCATGGATTACAGAAAACAATTCGTACCACAGCGGTTGACTGTTGGATAATCATCATGAAAGCGAAGGCGAAGCCGCATGAGGTTAACAGCGACCAAATCAAAGCTGTGAATGAGTGAGAAAGATGAAGAGATGAGGAGACCGAAAGAAATGTTGAGATAGACACAGAGAGAGGCACGCAAAAGCAGAGTACCATAGACCACCAAACGTGCAGGTACATTTCCGCAAAAGCCACTCGAGGGATCAAGCCACTAATACGCCATGAGCTCTTCAGTTCAAGTGATACTAAAATCTGCGTTAATTTCACTGCTAATTAACAAAGCGGATTGCTCCTATAAAACCGTTCTGTTTATTTTGTCCCTTTCTGAGAACTGATTCTCGCTGATAAACCGGCTGAAAAGCAATTTGGGTATTATGTCCCCAAATAGGCATATATCATAGGGCATTCATATTCCAAATATTTATATTCCAAATAAGTATATACCATAGGGCATTCGATAATTTTAGCAATTTTCTTCTGATTTTTGGGACACTTCCGAAGGCCCTCCCGCTTCGCCGCGCAGGTGCAAAACATTATTTATTCTATGAGCTGGTTCAAGCTGGTCTTAACTGATTATTGAAAATGAGCTATTTATGTGAATCGCTTGCTACAATGGATGCAGATCACGTAATCGTATTATTCAGCTACTAAATGTAGAGTGATATAGTCCAATGGTTCACAGTTCATATAACTTTCAAACTGTCAGCATGGACAGAGTCGAATGCTTAAAGGTAGAATCCAGCTGGTATGATACTTAGTTCTTTGAACTTTTTTAATGAGTAGTTTTGTCTTTTCTGCAGACTAATACCCCATGAAAAAAGTGTTCACGAAATGGAAAAAGTTTTGTGACACTTGTCTGTAGATATCCCATTTATTGTACGATGGATACATTTCGCACTTCACTTTAAAGACAACGTCTACAGCCATTTCTTAAATACACCAATGTAACGTCCTGTTTCTTTTCCCACAAAGTCAACTCGTTAATCTCCCTCAGGTAAACTGAACGGAGCTTTAACCTGCCTCATGTCAGAACGCTTTGCTGACAGAGCCACAATGCCTTGTGAGATGTAAACTAAATTGTTTATAAACAGAAATTCGTCTGTTTAACATTGATATAAACTATAGTCTTATGCTGAGCACATGTATCTGCAAATCACTACGTGTATTCTGAGCTAACTTATACCCTGATTCGTCAGAGTTTTTGTAAGTTCAGTGCTAACTGTCGATTGTTCAAAGCAATGACGGACGTTAATGACTTTGAAAATTGTCTCGTTGCAGCGATTTTTCGAGATTTGACCATTTAATAATTGCTGATAAACTTGTGACCCAAATGACGGAGCGTTTTCCGTCATCTGCAATGTCCTTTAGATGAGTCGATGAATCGTCGATCCTTTCCTAGTAAGATATGCTGCACGATGAATGGTTAAACGCGTACTTTAATGCTGATAACACATCTCGCTGCTGGTAACTAACTGCATTGATCTTCTTCTAAATAAAACTGTTTTGAGAACTGGATACAACCGGTTTCGAATTATCGCTGAATCATTCACCGATTAATTCTTTGTTTTTGACATCCTTTCACCACTGCCAATATCACAGCGGCTCATTAAACAAAACAACTAGGTGTGTTTTCTGATCAGTTTATTTTTCAGATGTCATCAGGATAGTAGGTGTTTTTCAAAAGAAGTTCTACAGAAGTCTAAACAGTATTTTTTTTATTAAACTACCCCAATATTAGTTTACTTAAATCTTTTCGTTGAATTATTTTTATAGTTATTTCGGATTAAGTAAGCGGCAACTCTTGTAAAATAATGGGCCAAATTCAAAGCGGTTTTGCATCTTAAGCTCGAAAGCAACCTGTGGTAAAAATCAAGCCTGAATTAGTTTCTCAAATATTTAATAGAATCATGCGTTTTTAATTTGGCGATTATGATGTGTAAATAAATAAGATTATACACTTAAATATAACCTGCGCATAGAATTATACATACAGTCTGTCAGACCATCTATCCCGTAATGAGGTACGTACCACCGGATATCGCGACTTGCTGAACTGAGATAGATATTGGATGTCGATCGTGAAATTGAACAAAACTCATTCTTTATTCCAGTATGGTGTCGCCAGTTTTATTACCCTGGGTTCATAAGTTCCCGTTTTTTCGTAGTCTTTAATCACACGAGAAAGTTCGGTAACCAGCGTCGTTATAAGCCGCTATATGTAGTAGAATAAGCAGCAGTAGAATATTTGGAAGGAAAAAGAGTCTTGAAATATTTGTGCTAAGATTGTATTGAAACAAATAGAAAGAGATTTCTGACATTCGTAGGTCCGAGTTACACTGCTATAAGCTTTAATAACTGTTTTCATCCTGTAGCAAGTAAAATTGTTTAGTTTGCACTAACGTAGAAAATTTTCTGTTTCCACCCTGTCGTAAGACCCGGTAAAATGTGATGAAAACCTGGACTCATTGGTGATCTTGTCTAACAGTGTATTTCCATTTCAAGCCAGGAACTTGCTACTGGAAGATTCATTCCTTCAAAACCTGAGATACAGCTTTAAGCAGAGTTTGACACTGTCTGGGTGGTTCGCCCCTTTCAAAGGCAAAGAAGTGTGGATCTTGATTTGCTTTTAGCTCCGGTCCCTGAATCAGCCCTAGACTATTAAGTTTCAGGTAGAAACTCCGCACGTAATTTTAGTAGTGTGATTAATGTCAATTTAATTTTAATCCGAATTTGAAGATCATATCTGCGAAGTGAATATATGATTAGAATTAACAATGGGTGCTTACAGAAGATTGGAATTGTTTTGAGAAACGATTTTTGAGCTTGAAGCGGAAAGTAGTTGATTACTGTGTGCTGCCACTGCTAAACTGTGGGTGCAAAAAGTGGACCATAAACTTGAAAGCTATGTACATAAACTGCAGACTACACAACACACCATAGAAAGAAATATTTTAGGAATGATAAGAAAGATAGGAAGACAAATGAATCGATAAGAGCCGAAACGTGAGTCTGCGATATCATTGCCCAAGCGAATATGTTGCAGTAGTAATGGACTGGATACATTGCAAGAAAACCCGCACATCACTGAACCAAAAAAGCACTAGACAGGGTTCTAAAAGAGAGGGAATGACTCATAGGAAGACCACCTCCAAGTCGATGACAGGATGAGGTGAAGAAGTTCGCTGGTTCAACAAGAATAAAAGCCGATGAAAATAAAAGTTTGTGGCAGAGTTTTGGAGAGGCTTTCATGCGCTAGTGGATTGAAGGCCTTGTCGATCTCGATACTTTCTCTGAAAACACAACAGATCATGTCGTCAGCTGTAGATCTGTTTGACGATGAGTTGAACCATTGTTGGTAAAATGGAATGAGGCTAATATAGTGGCAATTTTTAGTTTCTCGATCAGGTTTGCAAATGCACCGTAATATGGCAGTTATGATAAGACAAAATTTTACTGAAGATTGTAAAGATTTTTTTCAAGGTAACGTCCTGGTAGCTGATATCGTTTGAACTGTAATACCTTGTATTCTATTATAAAGTCGTCCTTCTCTGAGAATGAAAACAAAACAGACAATTCTTTCATGTCGACGGTTGATAGTTGCTAAACGAAATCTAGTCGTGATCCATTCCAAACACCAACGATGTTCAACAGACTTGGCGCTTATGAATGAATGAGCATGAGTGAAGTTAGAAGTAATAATCGAGTGGATATTTAATGAATGAGATAAGGCGTGTTAGAACGTGAGTTAATGAATGAAATTTATGTCATTTCTTGGTATTATATTATGACTTTGTTGAGGCTTTGTACGTATAGGTTTAATTTCGCTTTGCCCAGCGTATGATAGAATTGCTGGTCATAAGATCTGTGAATGTTTTCGTCGCCGTCGTTCTCGTTGCAGCCGTCACTGTCGTCCTTACGAGGGAGACTTCTGCGTTGTCTGCGGACAAAGTCGAATGTGGACAACTTTTACCTGGTCAATATGTCTGTGACCCGCCCGTTGTGAGCGCCGAAACTCAGCAGCCGCAGAACTGCACTGAACACGACACCGCATTAGGTACGTTGTA